AGGTAACCGCTCCCTTCACTTTCATCACTACCTCATGTCCTTCCCCCTGGACAGGTCTCCTTCAACCAGCTGATGAAAGTGAAGGGAGCGGTTACCTTGGATTTTGACAACTAGTATGAGGATTCCCTCAGGCCAGTGCTTAAGCCAGTCCTGCTTGGAATTGGGCACTTCGAATGCTATTTGCAGGTGACAGCTTGGGGTGCGTGGGATGTAGAGACACGTGCAATAGACTGAATGGGGCCCAGGTGGGTTCCGAAGATACGGGGGTTCCATGGTGAGATCTGTCTTTGAGAAGAGAGGGAGCCAGGCCTCAAGAGGGCCACCTAGGAGCTTAGCTATGATGAGCTTTATGGTCCTGAGGGTTACCCCGAGAAGGCAGAGGAAGGAAAATCGGGGATCAGGGTACTCACCGACATGAGAAACGCCATCCTGCCAGAGTTCCCCCTCCACTCAGCACCACCAGCCCCCGCTCAGGTTCCTGAGAAAGAAAAAATTGCCCGTGTAGCCAGGGCCTAGCTCCTAGCTCAGGTTGGGGGAAGCACATTCCTTCTTTGTCAGCAGCAGAAGAATTCCTGGGGAGACTCCTTAACCCTCCTTTTACCACAAAAGGGAACAGAAAGATGCCTGGATTTGAGAAGGAAACTTCAGTCTGACTCCCAACTCTGGCTTAGCTACTTACTCAAACCCTTACTCATTCCAGAAAGGACTGAGAGCAGCCTTGTCATCAACCAATCACTCAATAAAAAACAGCGCTACCCAGCAATTATTAGCTGGATATATTTGGGCAAGCTACTGTGATTATCCTTTGTTTTCCTATCTGAAAAAAAAAAAAAAAAAGGAGACAATCACACTAATTTCACAGGTTTTTGCAAAGGTAATGAGTGTGAAAGCACAATGTCAATTACAGAGTGTGATGTAGATAATAGTTATTATAATTACTGTTGATTAATAAGATGACAATAAAGAGGCCAGAGGGAGCACTGGGAGAAAGGAGAATGGAGATGGAGTAAAATGAGAAGTGGAAGCCAAGAAAAGAGAAAGCGGGGGAGGGAGAGAAGTTTGGAGGGGAGAAGACAGAGACTGTACCTTCAGCACTTCCTGAACTTTGCCAGCCACTTGGACCATGGTGGTCAGAACTGATTCACTATACGGTTTCTGTGGGGAACAGGTGGGAATCAGAAGCCAAGAAAAGGACAGTGGATTTGGGGGAGGAGGAGGAATGAATGGTGTGGTGGAAAGGCTCTCAGGTCTCAAACACTAAGGACCATTGGCATGGAGTTGGCATCTTTATTTTCAGTGTCCAGGGGATGGGTCTGGGTTACCTGGTCTGTGGGCATGACTCGCCCCTCCTCCTGGAAGACCTCAGCATCACACTGTCCCAGCAATCGAACAATTTGCTTGGCATCTGCTCTGTCGAGGTCCTGGGTCAGTGGGTTTGACTTCTCTATGATTGGCAGGGCTGCCTCATACCCAGACAACTAGAGGGAAGGGGGCACAAGGATACAGACAGGATGCCCAGGCCTCACTCATGCCTCTTGATCTGGAGGTGGGAGTAGCAGCAGGCACAAGGTTTGGGGACACACACACACACACACACACACACACCGTCCAAGGATTTAGCCTGAACTTGGTACTCTGGGCCTAATAGGGGAAGGTCAGGAAGGAAGATGGGAAGGAGGAGAGGGAAAACAGAAACCCAGGGTGGAGGGAAGTCCAGATGAGAAATGATTCTAGGAATCAGTACAGAAGACCAACATGGAGAAGGGGGGGGGTCTCCCCTCCCACTTGCCAGGCTCTGGGGTCTCAATCACATGTTGAAGCCGTTTTGTGCCCGGCATGGTCGCACGCTGTGGACACCCTGTTGTTCCTGTGTTTTCAGCCACACAAACCCTTCTGTCACGCTAACTCTGCTTCCAGTGGGCGGGGCCTTATCTGAGCCTCAGTGATGATTAACCCAGGTACCCTGGCCTCTCTGAGCACTGCCCCCTCTGAGTATCTCTCCCGGCACCCTTTCCTGATCAATTAGCCCCCAGCCCTCTGGGCACCCCAGGGAAGCTCCAGGGGTCCCTCTTTGCATGCATGCAGACTGCCCAGCCTCTGCTTTGCCCCATGAAGGGGGAAACCTGAGGTTCATTACTCTTAACCTTTGGACACAATGACCTCTTCTCTGGAAGAGGTCTGGGCCTGGAGCTCAGAAGTGCAGGGTAATACCCAGTCCCAGGACAATGAGAATCCCTGAGCAGAGTGCTCTGGGACCAGGATGCAACAGGAGGCCAGAGATCAGGGTCCTCAGGGACAGCAGAGGTCAGAAGACCTGAGCCATGGCTTAATCACATGTCCAGAACACACAGTCCTCCGGGCCCCTCTTGCTCCATTTCACTCTTTCATCTCAGAAGGAAGGTAACAGAAGCTTTGGAGCCCCAGGGGGACACACGCTGAACTGAATATTACTGGAAAAAAGTGCCACGGAAATAGAAATGCTGCAATGAGAATTAGAAACCAAAGTATCTGCCCTAAATACAACATGAGCCAACATTTATTTACACTGAACAATGCACTTTTCACATACAGTATCTCACTGGGTACATTCACAATAAGGAGACCATACTGACACCCTCGTTTTGCAGATGGTAAAGCAGAGGCTCAGAGAAGTTAGGTCATTGCTGAAGATCACACAGTTGACAGAAAGGGGACTCACACTCCAGATCTCATGAAATAGTTTAAGGATTTATGTTTGTTAAACGAATGAAGTAACTAACAGACTGGTGCAAATTAATGATAATCCCTCGCTCACACAGTGTTATAAGATTTATAAAGACATTCCCCAACATTATCTTACTGGATCCTGCCAACAGCCCTATGAGGTTCTGGGCGCTCTGATTTTAGGAAACCTGACACTTAGACGACCAATTTCTCCACGCCAGGCAGGAAGAAGAGCTAAAAACCATGGGTTGCTACTCTTTAGACTTCCGCCGCTATAAACCCAGCCTGCTGTCTTAACTGCTGGACTCCAGCTCTTCCCATGCCCAGACACCTAGGGGACGCTCAATAAATATTTGTTTAATAAATTAAAGAATGAATGAGAGCGAAGAGAACGAAAATCAGATTATGAATGGGGAAGAGATTTAAAAGCTGACGCAGTCTACAAGTAGGAGATTTTAGAACAATTATCTCCCCACTCTGTCCCCTCCCGCAGGGGAAGTGGGATTCCTCCTCCCAACTTGGCTAATTCCACCGGGGGAGGGAGGGGTCCTCCCGGGTGCCCGAGACCCTCGCACCTGCGCCTCTCCCTAGGCCCCTGCAGGATCCTCGGACGGAGCGGGGATCAGAGGCAAGGGGACCCGGAGGCCGCCAGTGGGAGGGTCGTGGGAGGAGCCCCGGGAGAACGGGGTCGGAGGAGGAGGGGTGAGGGGGATGACGGCGGCGAGAACCCCAGCGGGGCGGGGCGGGCCGGCACGTCCCGGTCGGGCTGCGGCGGAGCCAGCGGGGCCAGCTCTGCAGAAGGCGGCGGCTAGCTAGCCGGGACGGTCACATCCCGCTGCAGGCGCCGGCGGAGCAGCCGCACTGCCTCCCGCACAGGGACTCCGGCCAGTGGCCAGGCCGCGCTGGCACCGCCCCCCGCTCAGGGACAGACTACGCGGCCCGTCCGAGCTC